TTCTTTCATTGGATTAGAAATTTTTTATTATGATTTTATTGTAGAGGTAGAATTTATTCTCTACTTTTGAGATATTAATATTTTTAAGGCCATTGGAGAGTTATAATGATGGTTCTATGAACTTATATTGAAAAAGTATTTGAGCATTGATATTTAATTTAGGGGTATAAAATTGGTTGTCAATAGGGTTTTGTGTGTATGTTTTTTTATCGTAACAAGTATTAATACTGTATATACAATTTGGAATATTTTGGATGACGGCTTGATTTTAGAACTTATGTTTGGATGGTTGTTAGAATTTGACTTGTTGATTAATGCAGAGAGTGGAAGAAAATAATTGAATATACTATATTTTTCTTTCTTAGTTTTGCACGAAAAGGTAATTTAAGATTTTTGAAAGAAAAATCTAGATTTTTTGACCTATATTGTTACTAAACAGTAAAAGTGGGGGAGGTATATTTAATTTTTAAAACTCGAGGGAAGCTCTTTGTAATTGTGAGAAACCTCAGGGGAGGTTTGTGAAATGATCCCTCATTTTCTAGTTGCAAGCCGAACCTACGGCAAACTTTTAGCCAGGCTGCACTTCACTTGACAATTGTTGCACATGTAGTTAAGGAAAATTAATATCTAACTTCCAGAAGAAGTTCCCAAAGAAAATTGAGTGGAACAAACGCAAAGGAAAGAGAAAAGGAAAAAACTGATTAATGGCCAAATTTGTGTCTATAAACATCTGAGGAGGATATTTGAACAAATCGGGAAGGGCGTCTGAGGATGTTCCTAACTTCAAATGACGTGTGTCCCAATTACTAGGAAGTGACAAGCTTTCCCAACGTTGTTGACAAGCAACGGGAGACACGTCACAAACTAATCTTTTGCCAAGTTGGACAATCCTTTTTATTTTGTTAAAAAAAAAAAAAAAAGAAAACGTGCCTTTTTCTTCTGATACCAGGATAGGTTGTTATGCTTCTGTGGACAGGAACTCAGAAAAACATGCCACGTTTCCGCTTAGGCCAACAAACCAAGAATGCCCTGACCCACGACAACCCCACCATCTCCTCACGAGAAAAATGGAAGCAGAAAGGAGCTATACATATGGATGCTGTTAGAGTATTTGTCTAAGGCGAATGGAGTCGGCAACTAGGTACAATAATTTTAATTTAATTGAAGGTACGCGCGAGGGCCTCTGGGGTTCGGTTGGTGATGCGATCGAGGAAGCCACAGGAGCATGTAATGTACATGCCCGTCATCTTCGCGAGTACTTGTTAGTGCTGGTGATATGGCTATCGCGATGAGCGGTCACTCATGCGACCTGAATTGACACGGTCCGATCCATTTTAATTTTCGTCGAAAAGCAATTGATCAATCATTCACCAATGATACAGTGGACAAATTATTTTATCCAAACAAACATGTTTTTCTTCTTCGGACCACAAGCTTTTCTGGAAAATCGATACTACATAAAAAGTATCAATCTTGGCATTAGTGAGCGTGAGTATTTTTTTTATCTTAATATTTTTTTAATTAGAATTATTACATTTCAATATGTCGCTAATTAAAAGAAATAAAACACTTCAATTAATTACATCTCAATGGTTTTAGTAATTTTAATTTAAATATTGTTCATTAAAAACTATTTACCTACCCTTGAACTCCATCTCCACTTATTTTACGTATTAAAATTTCTTAATCGAACCATGAAAAATTGCTCATTAATCATTAGATGGGATTGTAAAAAAAAAAAAAAATTGTTGTCAAAAAATAGATACTTTCTAATAAAAAAAAGAGAAATATACAAGGAGAAGAAAACCCTTATTTATCTATACATTTTCCTGCAAATATCATAAGTAAATTTCACAATCATGCACTTTTCACCAATATAAAGAATTTTTCACGTTGCAGCTAATGGAATTTCAAAATGCAAAAAATTTATACTGAAATAGTAGTGTCAAATTGAAAAAAAAAAAATCTAAAATAGCACCATACAAACTATTATTATCATAATAAAATGATAAAAACTGAAAACTGAAAACTATTCATAAAATGACACAAAGTAAATAGCAATGAATTAAAATGTTAAAATACAATTCAAATAATACCAAAGACAACATCCAAATATCTGATATCCAAATGAAGACAAACATTATTGTTATTAACAATAATATAGTAATGTTTCATTTGTGTTGATTTGAGCAGACCAAATACATCCATCATGCCAGTACCTATCTTCAATGATAAAATGAGAATTATAATAAGAGCAAATTTTAAATGAAGAATGATAAAATGAAAACGATATCCAAATTGTTTTCAATAATGTCGAAAATAGCCTCTTATTTTTCTAATGATTACATATGTGTATTGTATTGCAGTATTAATGAATAATAGTAGCATTTATGAAATGAAAATTTTTAAAATTAAGTAAATTTCATTTATGGTGACAATTGTAGTTAGACAAATTTAGTGCATTCCAATAATTGACAATAATAATAGAGGTTATGGATTAAAAGCTGGCAATTTAAAAAATAAAACACTGCAATATGCTAAAAATTGATATTAAAATTGTTAATTAGTCATAATTCTCATTCCAATTCTATGATCATAAAAAATATTGATATTGAAACAAAAAATATTGTACTGTTGCTTTTGCTTTGCATTGGATTTTGTTAAAAAATATGAATAAAAGAAAAGGAAAATAGAAAAACAGCAACTATTTCTATCTATGAAATTTCAATTATCAGAATGTACAAAAAAAAAAAAATGTTTACCTGGTGAATCATTTATATTCTATTATTGACAAAAATAGAATTAACATAATACAAAGAATTCAAAATACGTGTCTGTTTATTTTTCTAACTTAATTATATTCTTTGTTTATAAAAAATTATAACAATTGTGGTTTATATGCAATAGAATTATGAACACACAAACATTTTGGTAAAACATGATTTTATCAATAATTGATATGTTATAGTTCAAGCCATAAATTAAAAAGTGTTTGGTTCATGATTCCAAATTCAACCTTAATAAACATATTAATTACATTGAAATGCTTTCTATCTATTTTTTATTTAATAAAAATTTTAAAAAGTAGCCAGTTAAACAAAATAAATAACATAAAAATAATATTATGATTAAAATTTCATAAAAAATTTTAATATCTAAAAAATAATATATATTTTAAAATATTACAATCACGTGCACGTCAACTATCACTAGACTAGTCCTTAATTAACAAACAAACTACTAACACTAGGAGCTGCTACAGCTTCAAAATAATTCAGCTGCATGCCTTCACATAATTTGTGTACATGTAATCTAAAATGATTTTTCTTTGTTTTGCATGCATGAGAACTAAATTACAAGCCTTAAATTCCCGAGAATGATGGGAGACAGCTGAAGACTATTGCATCGCCTAACCCTAATTAAACATTGGTTATGGTCCCGGTCCCAGTCCCAGACCCATGCGAGAGTTCCAAGGACGCAATAGGCGCAGTTTCTTGTCCTATTAATGGTCAATGTTTGCGGCCATGCAGATTTTGTATTAACACGTTTACTACAAGTTAAACTCGTTCTTCACTTCTTCCCCGCAAATTTGGTGGAATTTGGTCTGCCATCCACAATCAATTGACTAGACTCGAAAAGAATATTTGTCAAGAGTTTCTATCTTTTCCTTGGCCGCCCTTTTCTAACCTCCGATTTCTAGCTTGCGGACGGGCATGAGCAGAATTGACGGAGAAAGGAGTTTTGTGGGTCGCGAGTCTAAAATGTTGCCCCAGTCTACCACCCGGGCTCATTTCTCATAGCGCTGTGGCACTTGAAGCGGGTAAAAAGTAAACCAGCTATGGTGGTGGGGTTTGATGTTGGATTCTGGGAGCTAGAGCGACCACCAAGTCTTCTTCCTATTGTCAATCTCCCCCACGCAGAATATGATATCTGATTGTTCCAACGCCATATCAGGGTATCTTGAACTTGATTGGGCCTTCTTAATGCCGACTAACTCATTAGATGTAACCTTTGAAGGAGGCGGGGAAAAGGCGCTAATTATAGATGCATATAATTATATTACTCCTCTGTTACAAGCAATTTAAGAAGCAGGAGTTTCTCCCAGATTTTCCCCCCGCTTAAAAATTCTAAAGATAAAAAATTACGAATCTGGCAGTTCGGACTTGCAATCAAAATACGACATTAGTAGTTTTTGATGGGAGGATACGAAAATGTTCATGTTTCTTATTTAATTTACTAGAAATGCGAAAGAAAGATAACAAGAAGATTCCTGCAAGCATTCGTGTAACCGATTAGTCCTATTGGAGTTAGAGAGCAGTAGCTCAAATCGGGGATGGGATAACACTTCTTAAATTGAGGATGAGATAACACTTCTTAGGAAACAGTCCTACAAATTAACGAGACAGGCAAATTTTCACCAAGAGAAAAAAAGAAGAAAAGGTAAATTTTCGCAGAGCATGGCCTTGAACTCAAATTTACCAAGTCCAAGAGCATCAAACACTTGTCGTACGTACATTCTGCCTTTGCTCAAAGTCACGGAGAGCAATGGATAATTGCAAGATGTTGAGTTGAGTTTTGCTACTTTGTCCAAAACCTCTCCATGATTGGATAGATCGGAGCTGGAAAGAGACGTATGATGGTAAAGAGATGCGGCTCCTTCATTCGATTTCCGAGCATCCGCCAGTCTTCCAGGCAATTCCTCATGATCTGTATGCAACTTAGGTCCGAGTTATCAGTGACTCGCCGAGATTTCTTTGCTTGACCTGACCTTTATTTGAGACGACAACTGCTGAGACTAGAAATGGGCACACGTGAGACTGGGGAATGCCGAAATGAGGAGCACGCAGGTAGATTATCCTTGCTGATCTCTTCGTGTTCGTGGTGACAGGCATGGTAAGTCTATTGGATTATTATGCCAATGCCTAGTGAGATGGTTAGAACATAAATTTCGACCTACCAAGGGATTCTTGATTCTAGTTTTGTGGTTGTGTCACAGTAACAAATTCAATTGAAATCTCTTTATGTATCGAAAAACTTCTCTAGTCAACGACCACGTCGCAAATAAAAGAGTGTTCATACGATTTTCGACTACAGGAATTAAGCTAAAGAAGCATCCCAATTGCGATCCCAGTCCAACTGTGAGTCTTGAAGCCAAGTGCAACACTGCTCAAGAACCAATATACATCCACCGCAACTATAGATCAGTACGAGTCTGTTCTGTTCAAGCAGTCGGCAATATTCCACTTTTGCAGGGTTAGCTTTACACGAACCAAAAGCATTAACCAAACCAGCTGGAACACTTAAACAGATCTTCCATGCTTTCAACCCACCATTGACAAATTAAAAATTTTAGAAAACTTCAGAGCCCGAAGCTCTTAACAGAGCATTATACACTGTCAATATCAACCACCGATAACAATCATTTAATTGTAATGTAGCGATTTGTACCATGCTTAGCCCAGTAGTTTTTAAGATCAAGAGCAATTGACAGATCATGACCACCTGCTGCTAGTCTAGTAAGCAACCGACTAAAAACGCTTCCACTCATCTTCCTCCCACCCATCCGAGCATGCCGTTTGTTTGGTATTTGCGGAAGTGGATACACTGATAAGGAGGTTGTGCAACAAGATGACTGCCAGCCCCCATTTCCCCATTTGTAACACTGCCTGGCTACACCAGTACACGTGCAAACAGGTATTGGCATTCGAGTCTCATCAAAACTTATCTGGTTGAGAGAACTAAGATCCTGAGCATCCCACTCAGCCTTTGACCCATCAGTTGTGACATGTCTATTCAGATCCTCACCGACCTTAGCCTTCTTAGCTGACTTTGACTTTGCTGGGATTACATTGTTCACTTTTGTTCGTTTTGCTTGGTGCGACCTGGCAGCTTCAGATGAAATTGCTGTTATAGGAAAGGCTTCGGTAATGGGCCCTTCCCTTGTCTTGTTGGCAGATTGAGCACTATTGGCATGAGGACTTCTATGCTGGTTGAAGCGCTTCATTCCATGCTGAGTGCCACAACCTAATGCACCATTCATAGTACTTTCTTGAAACTGGAGGGCAGCAATGGCATTGTCACGTTCTCGTAGGGCATGGTCACGCTCACTAATAGCCGTGTCTCGCTGCTGGATTGCTGAATCCCGCTCATCTAACGCTGCCCTCTTTTCAGACAGTGCCCTATCCCTCTCTTCAATTGCAGCATCCCTTTCAGCTAACAGCATGTTGATCTTTGTATTCATAAAGAAAGCATTTTGTTCCTTAATCTGATAATGCGGGATTCCATTCCACTGCACCAGTGAAAGAAAATTGCAGGAAACTACAAGCAGTATTCAGCAGGGATGCCTCCATAAAGGCTGACATCAACCTGAAAGGCTATTGCTATTTGAATACTAGTCTTTTTTCTTTTTTTATTCCATTTTTTTTCCTTTCACACACCAATGGAGACAGGAAAAAGATAATGTCAAACAATAATCACTTACCGGAGAGTGAGCCCCTTTGTAGTAATCTGTCCTCTGTCTCCTGCTTTCTCTTTGCCCACCATCATCCATTGTTCCAGTCAAAAGGCAGAACTCCAGATGCTTTAAAACAAAATGACTCTGCAACACATATTTATATAGTTCTTCATTTAAAAGTTATCCTGCACACATGGAAAGTCAAGCATATCATGAGAACTGCCAAAATAACCAATGTAAAAAAACCATTTCTGTTGTATTACCAAGTTACAATCACTCCATGCTAATTATGGATATCTTATTTAGCCCTTTTGATGTATCTCTTTTTCCTTTTTCTGGAAAGTGAAAAGCAGCAAGTGTGAAAAGAAGTTAAGACAGTGGGCCAAAAACAAAGAATAGCATCAAAGTAAATGGAATATTCCTGTTAGATCAGCCATCAAGATAAGTTCCTTTGAAAGTGTTCTACAATAAAATACACATATTTTAGCAACTTTCAAAACCACCACCATTCTTAAGCCTATCAAGCATAGAAGGAAAAGTTCTGAAAACCAAAATGACTGCAGATTTTTGTTGTATTGGAACCAGGTAGACAATGTCAAGGCACTTGTATTAATACTCAGCTACAGGAAAAACCAAAAAATTGTATATGTTGGCAGTATCAATTAGATAGAGAAGTTCAATATGATGCCACTAAAGTGTTAGTTCAAACTAAATTCCCTGAGTACATTTTACTTGACCAGATGCAGGTGTCAGACAAAACTGGCTAGATAAATCTAAGGCACAGGAAAGAAAATGTCAGAACTATAGGCATAATCCTTGACACCAGACTGAAACAAACCAGAACTTTTTCTTTTTCTTTTTCTTTTTTTGAAAATGCTTAAATTTCTAAAATGGGACTCACATGATCAATGCAGACAATGTACATTGCTAATCACGGAATTGAATTATTAATGGCCGTACTTACAAGTTAAGATAGCAGTTGAGGCCATGAAGAGATAACCAGAATCTATGGTTCAGTCCAAAATAATGTCACCAGATACAGTTTGTTTAGAACATTAAGCCAGGATACAAGGTATTGTGCAGCTACATTAACCCTCGTGACAGAGATAACACTAAACTTCAGCAGCAGACAATCACTGTAGAAAAGCAAAGTTCAGTTCATGTATCTCAAAGAGTAAAATGTTAAGGGCATGCATCTGAAAGAACATTACTAAAGTGTTCACAGTTTAGCCCAGTACGTGTAACTCATACATTCTAATTAGAGCCTGAACTTCCAAAACATGTTTCATGGAGTTTCTGTAGAACTAATCAAAGAAATAAGCCTAAGGAAGACAGAGAATGTTGTAAAGATGAATACAGACTCTCAAGTTCCAACTTGCTAGATTTGAATTAACGTTCTGATTCTTTTTTCTCCCCAATTTTAATAACAGAAATTGGACTCCTGCTTTCCCTTGAATTTTTGCTGAATCAAAAATAAATAATTAACTTCCTAATCTCAACTAACCACTGAGCCAACCTTTTGGAACCTGTGAACTATGATTTAGCGTAGCAGACATACATAAAAATACACATCCGCGACCGATCACATCAACAATCACATATCATGTAAATAAAGAATCGTGCCATTTGTCAATCTTTTTCATTTGTTCCTGTAACGAAAAGTATATTAACTGCCACATGCTTACTTTTACATTTAATTGTTTTTTGTCTGATAAATTTTGTCTTCCATCTTAGAATGTGGCACACATATGTTCCAGAAATTCATCTTTATTTTGGGATTCAAAGTTTTCTGTAACGTGAAGGTGTAAAGACCTCATTGCTTCTTTCATTATTCTGCCAGATATTAGCCCGAAGAGAATGATTACGAAATACGCACCTACACAATGCAAAGTAAAAAAGACAATGTTGAACGAAAATCATTTATTTACCCATCAACTCATCATCATCACTACTTAAATGTCTTTCCTTGCAAGAACACAACCAGACAAAAGGCAAAAAACAAATAGTGCCGGCTAACAAAAAAAAATCGATGAATAAAAATCTATGAAACAAAACAAACGAATGCAATTAACAAATGACAATGGCAAGGCTTTCCTCCGTCTGGTATAGTAAACTAAAAAAAAAAAAAAAAACTAATTAGAAGAATATTTGATGACGTATGAGGAGTTGAAAAGACAGTCGAAAGTAGGGTTTTAAGCAATCAAAGACGACCGATACTCGACAGACCAAGATAAAACGTTCTAATATGCGTGGGTCCCTGCATATATGAAGATTGAAGAGAAAAAAGAAATTGTGACCGCGGCGGAGGAAAAGAGCTTGAGAAAGAAGGCGGAATTGGACAAACTTACAGAAGAAGGATAGGAGGAGGAGGAGGAGGTGGTGGTGGTCGTGGAGAATCTGGGGGGACTGTGATCCAAACGGTTCTGCCCTCAAAGCTGTTAACCCTTCTCAACCTCCTATTCCTCCTATTTCAGCACTCAAATTAGCTTACTGGTAGTACTACTCTAGTATATCTTAAGAGAGATCTGCCCTTTTTTCTTTTTTCTTTTTTTCTTTTCTTTTTCTTTTCCTTCTCTTCTCTCATTTTCACAAATATTCCACTTTCCACACCCGCCCCCGAATTCTTTCTACCATACCCAATTTTTGCCTAATTCCTTTCTGTATTACACTATCATATTTAACCCACTCCTATGTATAATTTGGTTCATTAACGTAATTTGGAGTTTAAGCGGCCTATGTCCTAATAATACATGCATTATAAACCGTCCATGTGATGTTTTTATTAGTTGATAAAAATATTTGACTCTAACCAATTTGTTATTGGAAAAGTTCAATGGGATCATTAACGTTTTTAAGTGTGTTTTTTGTTTCCTAGAATTGTCAAAAATTTGTCTAGTCATGTTGTAAATTGTTAGTTGTCATTTTCCAAATGAATTAGGTATCTTTAAAGACACCCATAAATTTGCTTTAATATGATAAAATTTCTATTTTTCCAACACTAGCTTTAGTTGTAAACCAAGTTAGTTTACATTTGAAATTGAATATAACTCAATTATCACACACACTACAAAATTGGGCAATAATAAAGGAGTAAATCTTATACATACTGACTATATACATATATATATATATTATCATTGGTGAATCAATGATACACGTGCAAAAAATTGGATTTTAAATTCAAAATTTGCATAATTATCATTCATCCAATATTGACGTATGAAAGATTAATTCATAATGAAATCATTCAGAATCATATTGTATTCATATAGCTAAATGTGTAAAATTTTCCGTGCTTACAAATACAAATGGGAATGAAAGGCTCAAAGGCAACATTGATTTCATATTATTTGCATTATTAATGACTAAACCTTCAAAAATTTGTACCACAGGGAAGTTAGTTTGCCTTCCCAAATTTCCTTCTGGGCTTGGCCACTTTCGGACCTGAACCACAGTAGAATGTACGAAATAGAAATAGCCCAAAACTCTTCTTCAGGATTAGGCCATCTCTCTGAGCTCTGAAGCAATATTTTCGGAACGTTAATGACTTTAAAATAATATTTAATAGAAATAATACTTGTAAAGAAGATTCCTTTTTTTTTAATTTGTTTTTGGAGAATGACCTAAAAAATAGGATCCAACCACTTAAAAAAAATCACATGTTATAAAATCTATTATAGAATTCAAAATAAAATCATTTCATATACAAAAAAAAATCATAAAATAATTACAAAAAAGAATACCTTGTAATTTTAACCAAAAAAAAGCTGCAAAATTTTTAAGGGTACATGACATGTGTATGAGAGATAATTTTACCTTATTTGTATCTCACCTTAACTTTTTAATCTAAATTTAACGAGGAATATTTTTAATAATAGCAAAACTTCGAACTTAATTAACATGGTGAGATTTTTTTGGGATTAATTCTTGATTTCCCCAAAAGAAAAAAGGAAATTGCATTGCCTTATATGAGTGACACGAGAAGCATGTAGGAAAATCGAGATAACGGTTTAACTGAAACATCCGAGATTTTTTAACGGCAAAAAGCTAATATGATTAAGGATGGCAATAGGGGCAGATGCCGTGGGGGACTATTGGGCGGGGGAGGGGGGAGAATTTTTTCCCCTCGTTTAGAAATAGACCCTCGCCCCATCCCCCTCCTTGCCACCCGTTTGAAAAAAAGATATACATATATACATAATTATATATATATAATATTTAATTTAATAAGTTATAATATGTATCATTTAATGTATATTAGTGTATGTAATATAATTGATATTATCAATTTTACTACTAATTATACATGTCTATTGATAAAAATTATTAATCATTTATACTAAATTTATTAATACATCTATATTAAATTCCTAACTACATTTAATACAATAACACTTTTGTTTTTAAAAAACACAATAATAATTTAGTGATTGTATTTATATCAAAAGTGAAAATTTGATTATTGTAATTATATTTATTTTATTATATTAGATTGTATTCAAATAACTTTTATTTAATTATTTTTATGAGTTTCAATTATGAAGTTACAGTGAATAATAATTTAGTGATGTATTGATATTTTAGTACTTGATTATTTACTATAATTTAATTATAATAAAATTTTTTTAATCCCACGATCCCCGCAGGGAAGCGGTCGGTAGGCGACTGGGCCGGGATGGGAGGGGTCCCCCCGCCCCATTGCCACACTTAGATGTGAGTATGTGACTTGATGGAGTCAAGAGAAGGGTAAGGTGCAATAAAAGCAACACTGCAGAAAAAATGCAAATGGCACCAAAACCTCAAGGCGACTTGGTGCCTTTTATAGGCTTTAAACCAAAATTCTCCAGAAGCCACGAACGCTAAACCCCTCGGCCATCAGAAGTTATCCAGTCTCTCTTTTCACGGTTTCTTCAGTCTCCAACCCTTCACGCCACGCTTAGTATCCAATTCCTGTAAGATCCCCTATATCCTACTACTTGTTTTTCCCGTGACAGCATTGAATTTACCGTTCTTTCTTTCTTTCCCCAATAAATGTGCAAATAACCGTTCATATATGCTTCTCCAATCCTGTGGACGATCATCCTGATAATTGTTCGACCTGCCATCGATAAAACTCTGATAAGAAGACTTGGGTTTTAAGGAAAATGGAGATGGGGCTGGTTACGTTGCTGAGAGTAGCATGGATTGCAGGGACTTTGCCAATTCTGGTAGCTTCTATACCCTGCTCTAAGCTCAATTGGTTTCACGATTTCTTGCTGGGGTTTGCCAGGCGAGGCAAGACTATGCAGCAATCATCTTCTAGAGTAAGTCATTATACTTCTGTATCGACCCACGCATGTACGATTGATTGATAACTAAATCCCTGAATTTCTTTCTGTTTTATTGTTGTAGTAATGCTGCTGTTTTGATGAATTATTCGATCATGCGCCAGGTGCTGTAGCATCTTCTTCATATGCATTTGAGGAACTGAGTTCCATCGAGCTTTCCTACTCTAATGCTTGTATGGTTTTGGCCATGGCTGGTGTTTCTTGTTGTTAGAAAAGCCATGATATTTTATTTTTCTCGAGAGAGAATGGATGACATTGGCTTATAAATTCAGAGTGATCATGTAGAGTGTAATTCAAGGTCAAGTTAGAATCTTTTTTAGAATGAATAGTCAAGATCAACCATCGTAGGTCATTTTCTTATAAATGCACAGATAGAGCCATTAGCTACTTTACGGTTGTTATTTTGAGTGTATGATAGCATGTTAAGATGATGCTATCTGACACGTGCTATTCCTTGATTACTTGACCACTGCATGCGATTATTCATTCCTTCACACTACTGTTTGATGCAGCCGGTGTGTTTTAAGTCATCTAACTATCTTCTTTTACATTGCTTCCATTGGTCAATGATTAAGGCCTTTACATCTCAGGTAGAATGTGAATGATGACATTTCATTTCAAGTCACATTTTCTTAGCATTTATAATTGCTTTGAGTTCTGAGCTTTTTATGATCTATTGGCTTTAACTTTGATTACGTCATAATGGACTCGACTTGGAAGTTTCTGTTTTTTTTTTTCAAGTACCTTTAGTTTCTGTTTCAGTTGATGGATTCTTTTTGGAAATCGTAAGTTTACACAATAAGAAATTCTTGTGTAATTGAACTTAGATGTTATACATGTACAGAAATTCACTGTCCCGCAGAAGTTCTTCTGTCACTTTTATGCATTGGCTGTTATTTGGACAACGTTCTTGCTGTTAGCAACATGGCTTTACGCATACAATATGGCACTATTGGTCTCCCAGCCACTGCACTTTTCTAGTATTACCAGCTATCTCACTGGGGGTTCACATAGCTTTTGGTTGCATGGATCTCCTTCGATGAAGATAGAACAGAGATACAGATGTTGGGTATCTATTTTTCTGCTTTTGTTAATGGAAGCTCAAGTGCTGAGACGCCTTTATGAAACGATATATGTCTTTAAGTACAGTCCTTCAGCTCGGATGCACATTTTTGGTTATTTCACAGGCCTATTGTAAGTATTGACATTTTTTCCTTTTCTCATGATTATTCAATAAATAGGTAAGTGGTCAAAGATCTTTCTTTGGTTTTGAGTCTGTGCTTGTGGTCCTTTGCTTCTGCTGAGTAGTAAGAATTAACACTCAAATTTTTTTTTCCTTTTTATATACTTGTGGGGCTCAAGGAGGTGGTACATCTAAAGAAACATGATTGACGTTATTTCCATGATATTTACCATTTGCAACTTGGAAGTTAACATTTGAACATTATTTTGTTCAATAATTTCATTAAATAAAACAGCGGTCATTAATATTTTAGTTCCTAAGACCATTGAAGTGTTCTATTGATTTCATGTCTTAAAATGCATGATAAAGTCTATTAAAGTGATTATTTCTGATATCTCATGGTATCAGCCAAAAATTCTTTGAACTTCTAAATTCCTCTAGAAACTCAGTCATTATCATTTATACTTCCTCTAAAACTCACTGAAAATTGCATAGGGCTGGAAACAAGCTAAATGCTAATAGTAAGAGGTAAAACTAGATGAAAGTAATATCGTGAGATCATTCATGAACAACATGGAAGGTTATAATTTTAGTATATGGAGTTCAAAGGCATCACAAGATAACTAGTCGTGTAGTCCTAGATTGTACAGCTATTATTTTCCAATAATCAAATAATTAATTGTTATGACCAATTTCTTTGTCAACTTGCAATCAGCCTACAAAATGCAATAAATAGCCTATCCCTAGTTTTCTTTGCAAAGATGTTATTGTGAAGTAATCAGACTTCTCTTTCAGATTGCTTATTTTTTCAACAATATGTTAACAGTTGTACTATATGCAGACCCCTTGGACTTTTTCCTGATTAGTTGTCTTTCTGATACTAGTTTCTATACAGCAGCGCCATTGTCACTTTGCTGTAATTACGTGTCAGAGGTATTCCTATTTGCCTCAAATCTGATTCAAGAACTAATAGTTAAAGGGAAGGACCGCATGCAATTCGGTGAATATAGTTGGTGGGGATTTGTCGGCCCTCTCTTAAAACTTAAATGGCATGCTTGGTTAGGTGCAGCTATTTTCCTTTGGGGTTCGGTTCATCAGCACCGCTGTCATGCGATTCTTGTAAGAAATTTTGTTATTATTGTTGGGCGTTCCTACAAATAGTTAGTAAAGTTATAGATGAGGTCAAGGCGAGTTCCAGATCACTTTTCTGATATTGTATCAAACATGTAGCTTCATTTTTAAGCATCTCTGGTTCCCCCCCCCCTCCTTATATAGTTATAGTATTATGGTAACAACTGGATCTAGAAGATTATGACCATTATGATTTGGCTTCATAGTATTTCTTTTTATGTGTTTTTCCCCTATGCAGCTCCTTGTCAAACATCAAGAATAGGATATTTGGCCAAATAATCTTATTTTATTGCTTATATCCTTTATCTCTGTATCTGCTCTTTATGGCAATTTTAGCAATTTTGACTGGTAGAAGAATATGCAACGTGGTCATGTTAATTTGAAAAGTTCTGGGTCTTGTAACAAATCTTAACTACCAAATCACCAAATATATTTTGGCATGTCATTTTGCCGTATCCATGGAGGAGAGAAATGCTTTAGTGTATTAATGTGCATGCCTCTGAAGTAAAATGCTCTTTGAACTTTGAAGGCTAAGAAAGTACTTTTTCAAGTTAAGTTTACACAATTGTTTTGTCTAACAGTAGAAAGGGTATTTGGTCTTTTTATTAGTTGGGTACTACTTAAGTTACTATTAAGATGCTATTATGTCAAATAATGATACAGTGCCTTAACTTGAAATGGTACTTTTACTTCAAATGCATTAAAATTCGTGTAATGTACTTTGAGAAATTTTCTCATGGCAGATTGCTTTAATTTACGAGTGTCGTGTGTTTGTCTGAGGGTGAGTTTGTCCTCTGTCCATGTTGGTTCACAAGGGTTTAACATATGAATAAACCATTAGAACATGCAAGTGCAAAGCTGCGTATATTCAACATTTTCCTGATCCTGCAGCATGTCTCTCTTTGAACGGGTTTCTTCTTAGTTATTTATGATGTGTTGCTTGGACTTCTGGGAGCATAAATAGACACCTAAGGTTCTACATTGATTAACGATGCTTAATTTTTCATATTTAGGTACATGTTTGTAATGGATTGTCAAACATGCCACATAACTTTGTTTTGAAACCAGGGTTTAGTGCGGGATAACTCAGAGCAGATTGAGGACTACATAATTCCTTATGGTGATTGGTTCAAATATGTTTCAAGCCCTCATTATCTGGCTGAGATTGTATGCCTCTTTTCCTTTACTGTACATTGTTTCATATCTTGCACAACTGTTTTTTTTTTTTTGGCTTGTTGGTGCATTGGCATTCTTGTCTTGCTCTGGTGGGCAAAATCAATTTACATTTTGAATTCTTGTGATCATGAAGGTAATATATGGTGGTCTTCTGGTTGCTGGTGGATGTTCAGACATTACGCTATGGTTGCTTTTTGGATTTGTCGTATGGGTTCTCAGGCTTTATCTCATTTTTTTTTTCTTTTTCCTAGTTTCATTTAGGCCTGATTTTCCCCTCCTTTTCTGAAAATCTATTAATCAATCACCTCTATGCTTGGTTATGGGAACTTCTTTCAACCAGCATTCTTTGTTATAGTCTACATCCCTTTTATCTGCCATATAATTGTTGCAGGTGGCGAATCTTGTTTTTGCAGCCGCTGAAACACACAGGTGGTATCTGAGAAAGTTTGACAACTACCCTAGAGAGCGTTTTGCCATAATTCCATCATTTTATTGAGGCGCTCTCAAGGTACATTTTAGATTCCATTTATTGGGCTCAACTACTTGGCATTTTTGGCCAAGGAAGAACTATCTCTTGCATTTGAGACATGAGTGGCCGGTGCTCTTTTCTGTTCAGTTAAGGATCGGATTTAGGAAGATAGAATAGCTCGATTCTCTCTAGTGACATGATCGGACAATTTTTATGTTACTCTCTGTAACAGCAGTGAAGATGGTTAGCTGGTTCAGCATGTAGAGTCCAGCTGGTGTATGTATAAGTAAGCTTCTTATTATATGTAGCGGCTTCTTGTGCTTTGTACCCACCATTTGAATCACTGGAAACATTTCTAGTTGGAGCATTGTTCTATTGTGCATTATGAAATGAGATGTGCAGACACTCTAGATTTGGATTGTGCAGTTCACAACAGTGGAGGTTAGCACTAGTACCTGGTGATACAACCATTGGCCGTTTAAGAGTGGCTACTACTCCCATCCATTGTTATCCTAATTGTATAGCCTGCAAGTTGCTATTGGTCAGCTCGACGTGGCATTGCAGTTGGGCGAAGATGTGAAAGCTTGTTTTGATCGTGAAAAATTTCCAACCGATGTGATACAGGAATTCTTTGTTTCCCTATTTAACACCCCAAACGCGGCTTTATAGGTGCTCAAATTCACTATTTAATTTCTAATTGAAATAATTAACATACATGTATTATTACGTAATATTATCCTGAATGTTAAAATAATCATCTTCACCTCAAGGAACATTTGTTTCATAGCTAACGGTCGCTGGGGGCTCTAGATGCGGGCATATGTCCATTTCTACTCCTTATCACTAGTCACCACCAACTCCTTGAAGGCTTCGGCGTTGCTGCTAATTAACCTTAGGTACCCGGTAACTTCCACCGGAAATTAGTGGACTAGGCTTTCTGTTGGCTACTGGGCGTGAACCTTCACCGGTTGGCCGATATCAATTTCTTCCTTTTAATTATACCTGGTTCTAGCTCCGCCTAAGTCCGCCTAAGTTAAGAAAATGTCCGCTGTGTCCTTTACCAACCATGCATGCACAAGGTTTGATTAACCATTTGAATTAGGGGTGCAAATGGATCGAGCTCAATCAAGTAGCTCGCCAGCATGGTGGATCAAAATTTGAACTCGAACTCAGTCAATGCGAGTACGACTTTCAGTTTAAGCAGCTCGAGCTGCTTGACGAGTTCGAGTATAATATGTAAAGCTCGAAAATTCATTGAGTTTAATCGAGTTTTACACATATATATATTTTTTTAAAAAAAATTATTTATTAGTATGAAATGTCTATTTTAAACGTTATTTAAATTATATAAAATAGACAAATTTATATTTCCTAAACTCGATTAGGCTCGATCGAGGTCAAATTAAACTCAATTTGCACGAACTCAAACTCAAAACAAAACAAAATCGACCTCGAGCTCAACTTTAAAGAGTTTGACAAGCTCGAGTAAAGCAAAACAAAATCGAGTTCAAGTTTGACTTCAATCTCGACTCTCAAGATCTCGACGAACTTGAGTTCAAACTCAAACCCAAAATTTTAAATTCAAATTGAATTTGAGCAGTGCACTACCCGAGCTCAACTTGTTCGAACTCAACTCACTCACTCGATTGCACCCTTAGTTAGAGTATCTTATCTTGGACTTCTCCAATGTACGTGGCAAGCCACGCATAACTACGTGAAGTTGTATTACAACTCACTTGATCATGCTACTTCCTAGCACTTTCCAGGTCAGGTTGGTTCCTTATTATTATACTTCTTCTAATACATTCCAATCAATGCCGTCTACGTACGATTTAAGATTTATTTCATTTTATTTTATTTTTGGTGTGCGAATGTCAGGATATTAAACTACTGGAATGCACAAAACTGAAAACGTGTCCGAATGATACATCTATTCTTAGTGTTTGCCGAGAAGAGAAACAATAATAATGATAAAGCTACAGCCAGACGTGGCCAACCTAAACTCTACAGACTTGTAGCTTTTGATGACGGACACATTGCAATTGCATTGTATGACTACTTAATCCTAGCCTTATCTTAGTAAAAGAACGGCATAACAATTGCTCATTGCTGATAAAATATGGACGGAAAAGATGGATTAGGTCAAACATAGCAGCATTAGGCTTTATCTGAAAAACGCAAATCGGTGGCCAACAAATTTTGGTGCGTGGGGAGAAATTTAGAACATTGTTATGGTACGTCAATGAAATTTGGTTTAGACATTAGCAGTTACTTTTCTTGATGGGCAGAGTACCGAATGATTAGGACGTAGACTCCAATTCTAACAAGACAAAGTTGCAATTTCTTGCACTCTCACCGTGTTAACATTTCAAATTGTATTCAACAGCCTAAAATTAGATTGTCTTAAACTACAACGTTTTGCCGTATAATCAACTACAATTACAGAGTCGATTCAATGGTGATGAACAGAATCGTGGCCTTTGCCATCGGACTCTACAATCTTTAATGGTATCTTCACCTTACTATTATTGCATGTTTACGACGGGAGACTGCATTATGGCTCGTATGAAGGATCCACAAATCCAACTGCAGCATCAAATATATGATTCCCATCATTCGCTAAGACTCTATGTTTCCTCGATCTATCTCTTCCAATTCGTAACCTAACATGGCATATACTCCCATGTTAATTTTTCAGGAAAAAAGAGAAAGCATTACACATTTGGAAGGCGTTTTTATAGAACAAGGCCTAAGCCAAATTTATCACGGAATTGTAAGTAAGAGATTTTGGATTTAAAACCTCCCGTTTATCCAAAAAAAAAAAAAAAAAAAAGAACCAACTTTTATCATAGTGCAAATTAAACGTAACCCAAAGAGATTAATTAAACGTAAGCAAGGAGATTGAATCTCAACAGATAATATTTAATAGCCAAGGGTGCGGCATATAAATGAACATTGGTGGTGGGGAATAACGTCTTGGATGATGTGTTTCTGGGGTAGGTTACGGTCCTGGTTATCGATTACCAGAAAAAATTAGGTCATGGTTCGGCGCAGGTGTCACACTGGAGCCCATGCCACGTTCTTTCCTGGCTGCATGTGCTTTGCTGCGTAAAATTTGTGTTGTATTCAGATCTCGTTAATTGTTGCCTCATAAGTCATAACTCAATCCGCAGGCCATGCCCCTTATATCTGCCCATTAAATAAAATTTTTTTTTTATTAGCAACGATATATTTGTATAACCTACTCGGGGAGGGAGAGGCTAAGGAGGTTGTGGTAGGGGGTTATTGGATATACAAATCCAACTAGATCAAGAGAGTGTTCTAACACAATTCTTAGATTTTTTTCGCTGCAGGTGAGATTTGAACCCTCATCTATAGTCCAAGAAAATTTAAACCCTTATCTACCGCCCCTCCCTTGCGGCCATTAAATAATGCTAGCTCGTGTCCTTTTCTATGGTTTCTTAATTCCTTGCTCAGTGTTTGATACAGTGACTAGTGATACTGAACTTTAACAAAAAGAAAGAGACTTCTATATTATTAATTTCTTGTATCTTTTTTTTGTTGAGTTTTTCTTTTTTTTTTTTAATAGATTTTTACTCAGAACTCTTTAGCATACTTAAATCGCACCTAACCTAATAATTTTTTTTTTTAAAAAAATCGCACTTAACCGACGATACCATGTGATTACACATACTAATAGTACTAATAATTATCACCTCTTGTATTTAACTACTTTCCTTAATTAAGTCTACTTTATTGAAAGCTTAACAACTTTATTACGTCTCAAGGAGTGACCCATTTTTGTGTTTGATTGGTGATTGAAATCCAAAAAACGTAATCCTCTACTAAAGTTGCTCAAAAAGAAAACGAATCCTTTTTCTACATATGAAAAGTGCAAAGCTCATTAATTTGCTTGTTTCGTGCTGCAAAAGTGCGTACCTTTTTTGCAGATTAACGTTTAAGCTTGTGGTGATGATATCGATGTTTCATCTCTTGCTACATTCCCTAAAGCCACAAGCAAAGTGCTCTATGACTTTCCTTCTGGTCCACACAGTTATTTAGGGAATAACAATGCTCAAACTCCCGCTTGAGGGAGAAAAAATAAAGAGTTTTGTTACGAACATCTATTGGTCACTTGTTAACGTATTTAAATTAACTTATCTTGTCGTATAATATATATTTAGAGTACCAGTTAGATCCAAAAATAAAATACATTATTTTCTAAAACTGTTTTTGCATTTTGAACTTTTAATAAAATATATGGTACCCGTTAGAGAGCCTTGCAGCAATTATTTTCAGGATAGACCAATAGAATATGTTAAGAAAAGAAGATACAGTTAAAGTGAATCCAAATGGAGGAAGTATCCAATAATTTATGATTTTAGATAGAGATTTGTTTTATTCTCTTTTGCAATACTGTGATTCCACTGAAAGCTCCTTTCTAAAGGTTCGACCTTTTTTACTTTAAATAAAAACCGGATTATAGATTCTACCAAACAAACTGACCTCATCAATTATTCGTTGGGTAGATAAGTCTTCTGGACGCCTTCAAAAGTTGAAGGCTTTTGAGGGTTGCTCGGAAATCTAGGTTTATTTGCCGAATTCTTGAGTGTTCTCAAGAAAATGAGAGAAAATTATTCGTTGGCATGGGACCCCGGTTTGTACCCCTGCTGCTTGTGCTCTTGCCACTTGGGTGTTCTTGCCACTTGGGTGTTCTTTGGCTCAGTACAGCATATTTGGGAGTTGGGAATGGGAAATTGTGTATTTGGATAATAGATTATTTGTGAACATTTTTTGAAAAAAGTATTGCAGTAATTTTTTTTTTATATGATACGTGTAAGATAGAAATGTTGATTGAAAAATATATTGATGATACAAGTAAATAAATTTTTAGAAATAATTTACTATCCAAACAAATCGTGCCCATGTATGCAGATCGAAGACTATTTGATTTCAAAAAAATGAGAAGGATGAAAAAACCATGAAAGCAAAAAAGTATGTAAATTCGACTTTGTTTTTTCATTTTATGTCTCCCGTGTGCAACATTAGAAACAAAAAACACTACACTAATGAGAAACGCGGTTTGTGTTTGGATTGCAATTTTCTGGAGTTTTTGTAAAAAATATATATATACTGTAGCAATTTGATTTATGTAAGGTAAAAAGGTGATCAGGAAATATGTTTACAGAAAACGTAGAGATTTTTTTGATAGAAAATTCCTTTCCAAACTAGGGTACTTGTGGTTTTTTCTTTTCTTCCCCTCGAAGTCGAGGATATACATTCCTCCAGGAGGAGCCCACTCACAAGTCACAAGAGAGGGAGAATCTTGTAGGCAAGTCCCCATGTCCGAGTATTGAGCAATTCATTCGTGTTGGGACACAGTATCTGATTCCAAAATTTGCAGGCTTCTCTGTGTCTTTCGAAAAGCCAAGGGATGGTGCAGATAAGTCAGCCCACAATTGCACAGAAATCTTTCGACTGAATCTGGCCTCCCTGTATTCAAGATATTGTAACGATTAACTATTAAAGTTGCCGCAGAATAAGCAAAACTTTTAACGTAGTTTGATGCTTGTGGATCAATCAGCAACAAATTTGTTAAGTTT